GGTAAGTGTTGTAGGAACTCATCGATTTTATCTGGAAGTTTTGAGAAGGTTGAGTCACAATTTGTGGAAAAAACGTCCCAAGTTAAGGCAAATAGATGACTGGTTCTTCCACCATGACAACACACCTGCTCACACCATGCTGTGTTCATCAGTTTTTGACCAAAAATGGCATGACCCCCGTAACTTACCCTCTCTATTCACCCAATCTCACCCTAAGCAACTTTTTTTGGTTTCTTCCATGAAAAAAGTCCTCAAAGGTAAATGTTGTTACGGATGTGGAAGAGGTGAAACAAGAAAACGGCAGAAGCACTAAAAGGCATCCAAAGCGATGAGTTCAAAAACTGTTTTGAGCAGTGGAAAGAGTGTCTCGATAGGTATACTGCATCAAATGGAGAGTACTTTAACATTTAAACATGTAAGAATAAATGCACCATTTTTAATAAAAAAATTCCAGGTTTTTTTGAGTGCCCTCTCATACATATATATGTATCTTTATAACATCATGTTGCATACTTTAAATATACACAACAAAATTTATTTTTTAAAACTATAGCAACTCAAGTATATTTTAGTCCAAACAGAAATTCTACTGCAATTCTCTTGCCCCAACTTGATATTTATTTTTTCTTTTCTAAATTATTCTTCAATATACCTGCCCTTACTTCTCATTCTTTGCTTCCTCCATCTCACCACCCCTTCCACACTGTCCACCTGGATCCAACCATCTTTCAAAAACTAGCTCAAGTTCTGGCCCCTCCTTGAAGCCATTCCAGACTAATTCAGTCTCCAAGGATCTCACTCCCGACTTTATAGCCATGTGCTTGTTAAGTCATAAGTTTTGCCTTCCTCAGTCAGGCATTTTTGCTATTCGGAATATTATAGCAATGCTTGCATATAAGGTTTATCAGATCTCTTAGTTGACTCTTGGCATATTGCAAACTGGGAGCATCTTTTCTTTGCATCATTTAAAGCAGTAGCTTTAGCCAGGCTCAGTGGCTCAGCCTGTAATCCCGTGCCTTTGGGAGGCTGAGGTGAGTGGATTGCCTGAGCCCGTGGGTTCGAGACCCGCCTGGGCAGCAAGACCTCATCTCTACAATATATCAAAAAATCAGCCGGGCGTGGTAGCACATGCCTGTAATTCCGGCTACTTGGAAGGCTGAGGCAGAAGGATCGCTGGAGCCCAGCAGGTCGAGGCTGCTGTGGCCGGGAGCGGCCACTGCACTCCAGTCTGGGCAACAGAGTGAGACTCCAACTCAAAAAAAAAAAAAAAAAAAACCAAAAAATAAAAAAATAAAAAAAAAAATAAAGCAGTAGCTTTCGAACTTTTGGAAACATGATGCATGGTGAAATATACACTTTGTATCACAGTCCAGTATGCACGTACAAGTAAATATATATGTGTTTAAGGAGTTCCATGATCAACACTTACTCATTTTTCTGTTTTACTCTATTTAGTTTTTCAAAAACAAAAATGCTGATCAGATTCACTAAACTGATTTCATAGTGGGTTGGCTTGAAAAGTCCAGCTCTGGAAGGGTAATTACTGATTACTATGGGATTGCCATTAACTATTTCTCTCACTTAAAAACATAATTCAATGTACATGGCCTTTAAGCTCTCTTTTTTCTGAGTTACTTGTTTGTTCACACCATCTGTTGGAATCATCTGGGACAACTAAATACTTGGAATATACAATATTTTCCATCCTTTTTCCTTGAGCGTTGTTGTCTAAAAAGAAGAGTCCCTGCATTTTTACAACTCATTTCTATAAAACTCAAATCTCTATTCGCTCGCTCACTATTATTTTCATAGCATGCAAATTAGGAGGTAGACATTTCCTGGATGGAATAACTGAGGCTCAGAGAATGATGACTTTGTAAAGGATTCTTCAAGCAGGCTACTGCAAATTAGGGCAACTATGGAGTCTAGATATTGCAAGGATATACATTTGAAGGACCTGCACAACATAGAGCCTCAAAATGAATGTATCTCTACCTTGTCCAGATCAAATGGCTTCCTGACCAGATGAGTTAGCTGCTCTTCTGGACTTCCAGCTTGTGGGTGGGTCCTGCTGCCCGCCCCATCCTCATGTCTCTACCTCTTCTCACACTGGTTTTCAACCACCCAGAGCTACTTATTTTTCTTGGCTCTCTGCATTTTTTTTTTTTTTTTTTGAGTTGTAGTCTCACTCTCACCCAGACTGGAGTGCAGGGGCCGCTCCCGGCCACCACAGCCTCGACCTGCTGGGCTCCGGCGATCCTTC